ATATATATATCATAATATATATAATAATGTTTTTGAAAGAAGTCTCTTATGCTCATCAAGGCTGCATTTATTTGATCAAAAACACAGAAAAAAACAGTAATATTGTGAAATATTATTGCAATTTAAAATAAGGTTTTTCTATTTTAATATACTTTAAAATATAATTGATTTTTGTGATTCAAAGCTACATTTTCAGCATCATTACTCCAGTCTTCAGTGTCTCATGATCCTTCAGAAATCATTCTAATATGCTGATTTATTATCAATGTTAGAAATGCTTAATATTTTTTTGGAACCTGTGATACTTTGTTTCAGGATTCTTTGAGGAGTAAAAAGTTAAAAAGAATAGCATTTATTCAAAACAGACAATTTTTTGAAACAATATACACTACCGTTCAAAGGTTTGGGCTCAGTGCATTGTTTTTTCTTTCTTTCTTTTTTTGAAAAAAACTAATATTTTTATTCATCAGGGATGTGTTAAATTGATAAAAAGTGATAATATAAAGACTTATATTGAGAGAAAAAAATTTATATTTTGAATAAATGCAGTTCTTTCTAACTTTTTATTCATCGAAGAATAAAATATCAAAGGTTCATTCAATTTACAATGAAGGAATATGTATATGTATTTTTGATTCCATGTTGACTTCATGAAACACAACACACTTGATGGTAAAATCATTAGTATCTGTCTTTCACTGACCTATATGTCAATCAAAGAACAAAACTAGTTGTCCTCATCAGATTACAGTCTTTCTTGAATGTGGGACTTCAAGAGGAAAAACAGCAAGTGTAAATGTCATGTGAAAGAGAGAGGGGTAATTTGAGGAGGAATGGCATTGAGGATGCTTCTAGAAGCTCAACACACAGCAGTTTTATATTCCTGGCGGGATTCCCCACCATCGCCCCGCGTTCGGTCCCAGGTGGCGCGGCGCTGGCGTGACCTCACCTGCTATGAATCTCTGAAATGAGAGAATTATGGAGGAATGTGCAAACACACACAGGCTGGAGATGAGCGTGATAAGTGGAAGGAAGGAGTGCGACTGAACGGTGCCACTGCAACAAACTACACATAGTGTTTTTATAGATTTGCCGTGACAGTGCATCACACAAATGAGCTCCATTTTAAAAGTGCAGTACAAGAAAAATGAAAAATAAAAGAACAATCGATCTATAATATATTTATACTATATTTACAGTCTTTCAAAATGCATGTGTAGAGCACCAAAGAGTCCATCACACATTTTCATTTGGAGACAAAAGAGCATATTTCAGGTTAATTCAATTCAAAACTTTTTTATTAAGAAGTTTTGAGCTAAAAAGTCAAGTTGAGGGTGGTAAATGGGAAGTCAGGGGACCGTGACTGTGGTGGACCACTATAGGGGTCTTATCAGAATATGAATGATCTCATTGTCTCTGTCAGGAATTGTTTGGATTTTGCAGTTATGAGTCACCTGATTTTCCAAAGATAAATATATTGTTCAATAAATAATTTGAAAGTAGCATATGAGAGGTTTTCATAATATTAAATCAGAAAAACATACACTACCATTCAAAAGCTTGGGGTCTGTTGATTTTTATTTTTTTTAATAAATACTTTTATTCAGCAAGGATGCATTAAACTGATCTAAATTGATCACATTATAATGTTTCAAAAGATTTATATTAAGAAACTGTTTTTAACATTGATAATAAGCAGAAATGTTTCTTGAGCAGCAGATCAGCATATTAGAATGATTTCTGAAGGATCATGTGACACTGAAGACTGGAGTAATGATGCTGAAAATTCAGCTTTGACTATTTTAAAGGGGTCATATGATGCGATTTCAAGTTTTCCTTTCTCTTTGGAGTGTTACAAGCTGATTGTGCATAGATAAGATCCCTGAAGTTGCAAAGACTAAAGTCATCATATGACCCCTTTAAAATATATTCAAATATAAAACAGTTATTCTGATCCCTTCAATATGACGGCACGCTGAGCTTCCAGAAAAGCTATGATCCCCAGAGCTCTCCATGTTGTTCATTTGAGTCTATTCATGTCCATATATAGCTCAGATGATGCTGGTCTAATGACTGGAGCTCTACGGGGCCTCAATCTGCCTGTTTCACATTCTCAGAAGAACCCCACGCTAACAACAGGCCTCTCTGATGCTGTCGCCCCATCCACCGCTATTAGGACAGCCTGTGTTCACCACTACGATCACCACGTGAGTGTAGTCACTTGAAAATGAAGCAACGGTGAGAAGTGTTTGCTATACATACAGCTGTCAACATATACTACACTAAAAAAAAAAAAAAATTGGCCTAAAACCAATATTCTACACCAATTTTCACTTAGAAATTGCTTGTAAATTTCACAATTACAAAGAAACTGCAAGTGACACATAGAATTAAATGAAATTTTGAAGTAGAAAATATGAAATAGTATTTTCTTGTAAAACACACAACCTTTGAAAAATATTTTTTTCACAGTGTAGAAAATCACCTTTTCAAAACTTAAGTGATTTGTTGAGTCAATTTGTTTAAAAAAAACACGATACAATTAAAAATGAAAATCTCAATTATAGTTTTTAATCTGGTTACTGTGTAATTTAACCATTTCAGGGAAGAATTATTATATTTCATTAAAACTAAATATCGATCTTGTTACTTTAAATAAAATAAACATTAACTGATATAGAATAACATTTCTCATTTCTCATGTATTAAAATTTTTTTATAAAACTGAAATAAAAACAATATAGACATTTAAAAAAAAAACTAAACAAAATTACTAAAAATGTCAAATAAAAATAAAAAACTCAAAATACTAATAAAAACTACAACAGTATCTCAATGATACTAAATGAACTGTTTCAGATAAAATAAAAGAAACTTTGTAATGTCACGCTTCATTAGAAAATTATCCTTGCATTTTTTTCCACTTCACGAGCACATTTTACTGAAAACCATGCACACTGTTGACTGAAATGTCTGATTTACTCCTGTGGGATCTCCTCACCTCTCTCTCTCCTGCTCCAGCAGGTTGGTGAAATCATCGCTTTTGTTCATGAAGTCGACGTGTTTGCGCTTTTCATTGTCCAGGTCGGTGACGGTGCGTCGGTGGCATTTCTCGGCTAAGAGCAGCTGCTCTAACATCCGTCTGTACGTCTCACGCTGCTTCTCCTCCAAACGGTCCAGCTTTAGAGACAGAATGATTATCGCCATCATCAACTGCTTGCACTGGCACAACAGTATGTAAAGATTACTAAGGCAGTGTTCCTCACCTCTATCATAGGGATCTCATAGACGTCGTCTCGAATCAAGTCTCCGCTGGTCATCAGACTGTCTCTCTGCAGAGCCTGAAGAGGTTTGACTGGAAGCGCAGATCCGTAATGAGCCTCCAGAACTTCAGGTCGTGCTCTGCCAGACTGCAGCATGTGGATAATGTCTTCACGGGCCTAAAGCATACGGTGTTTATCATATTCAAATACCATGGTATTTCCATGATACATGGCATGCCATAGTATCCTATGTTTTAAGAATATATACTACAATGAAAAATGTTTGATGTTGAAACAATTTTCTACACCAAACAATTGCAAAGAACATTGTAACACATTGAATTAAACTAAATTATAGATATTTTCTTGTAAAACATTCACCAACTATCTTGTCAATCAGTAATAATGTTTTACTGACAACTTTCGAAAAACATAAATACATTTTTACAGTGTAAACTACTTTTTACAAACTTCCCTAAGCATTTGTTGTTTGCTGAATCAATTGTCAATCTGTTTAAAAACATGACAGAAATGAACTGGTTTTAATAAAAAATGACAAAAATTAAAATACTTCAGAGGAATTTTTCAAGGTTTTGTATCATGTGTCAATACATCCTCCTTGAGCACCAGCAGGGGGAGCTGTATGCTTCCATAAAACCTAAACATTAACAACCGTATGACATTGGCATGTAAAGACCATCACGCTATCATACTTCTTTTACAATTTTCTCACTATATCATATGTATACTGTGTACAGTATGCACATTTCTGTATGCACAGAATATCCAAATCACCTACACTACTGTTCAAATGTTCGGGGTTGGTAAAATTATTTCATTTTTTTTTTTAAGTCTCTTCTGGTCACCAAGTCTGCAATTTTGATCAAAAATAAAGTAAAAACAGTATTATTGTGAAATATTATTACAATTTAAAAGAACTTATTTTATATATTCAAATAGAATATATATTACTCCAGTCTTCAGTGTCACATGATCCTTCAGAATTTATTCTAATATGCTGATTTGCTGCTCAATAAACATTTCATCAATATATTCATCAATTATCATCAATGCTGAAAACAGTTGTGCTGCTTCATATATTTGTGTTAACAGTTTTTTGCGTATCAGCGTAAGTGTATAAAGCATCATAATCCTTCTGTCATCTTATTCAACTCCTTTTTGAATGACAGTGATGCTTTTCAAATATTATTGGAGTACGTTTGACAAGAAAATACTATTTCAGTCTTTCTACTTCAAAATTTCACGTTTAATTCAATGTGCTACTTGCCATTTCTATGTATTTATTTGTGAAATTTAGTAGCAATTTCCGAGAGAAAAGTGTTTTAAAGAAATCACATTTTTCTTGTCACCATGCAGTGAAACCTCACCTGAACTTCTCCCTCCATGACTCCCAGCAGATGGATGAGATCTTCTTTGGAGAGGTCCATCAGTCCGGCTCTCCTCTGCTGCATCTCGCGAGGCCTCTGAGGCTTCTGCAAAGTCCCAGAAACAGCCTTCTCCTCACTGCTCTCTTTTTCCTCCCGAGCTTTGCTTTTCTTCTTCATCAGCTCTTGTTTGCTTCTCTGTTTCTCAGTGCTGTGGATTTTAGCGAGCGGCTTCAGTGGTCTGTTCTCTGGCCCCTCCATATCGCTGCTCCTGGACCTCATCTTCACCTGCAGGTGCAAACAAAGATGAACATCATCCACAGATACACCAGAGACAATCTCCTGAACATATCACACAGTTAGAACAATAAAACATCTAATAGCTTTCAGCACACTGCACACAAGTGTTCTTCCTCTGTATTTTTGTCTTATTTTCTAGTACAAATTTCTAAAACAAGATACATTTATTTGAGAAGTAAAATAACCAATTGGGTAAGAAAAATAGGTTTACCTTTGAATTAATTCCCCATTGGCACACTTAAGATATAGATGTGTTTGTTTCTTCATCAGAACATAGTTGGAGAAATGGATGCTCTGCAGTGAATGGGTGCCGTCAGAATGAGAGTCCAAACAGCTGATAAAAACATCACAATAATCCACAAGTAATCCACACCACTCCAGTCCATCAGTTAACATTTTGTGAAGCCAAAAGCTGTGTGTTTGTAAGAAACAAATCCATCGTTAAGACATTTTAACTTTAAACCATTGCTTCTGGACAAAATACGAGTCCATAATCCAAAAATTCAGTGAAAAAGTCCATCTCCTGTTCTCTCTCACATCAAAATCCACCCACATATTTGTTTAGAATTGTTTTCGCATGTAAACGGTGCTTGATCTGTTTTCTTCTCCTGACAACTTTTTCACTGGAGGAAGTGTTATTATGGATTATGGACTATATTTTAGCTGGAATCAATGGTTCAGTGATGGATTTGTTTCTTCTTCTCAAACTTTTGGCTTTTGGCTTCACAAAACGTTAATTTATGGACCGGAGTGGTGTGGATTACTTGTGGATTATTGTGATGTTTTTATCAGCTGTTTGGACTCTCATTCTGACGGCACCCATTCACTGCAGAGCATCCATTGGTGAGCAAGTGATGCAATGCTACATTTCTCCAAATCTGTTCAGATGAAGAAACAAACTCATCTAGAATGGACTGAGGGTGAGTAAATATTCAGCAAATTTTCATTTTGGGGTGAACTAGTCCTTTAAGTCATTTTGCATCTCAACTTAATGTATCTTGATTTAAGAATTTATAGATATTTGTACTGGAAAAAATAAAAAATGCTGAGGAACAATATAATTTTTTTTGCTGTGCATCTGATTCTTCAGTTATTTGCAACTGTACAGTATATAATGGATTTACATGGTCAAGGTACTTGCAATGATATGTCCAAAAAAATCATGCAATTGCCAGGTTTTATAGTAATTTAACACCTTTTTTACAGTGTATGTTTCAAGTGAAGTAAAAATCAATCACTAGTGGACCCAAGACTCTCATATCAAATGTCTGCAGTCTTAAGCTCTGAGCCAACTCTTGATATTTTAATATGTAGTTTGCCCTTGTAGCTAATCTGCAACAGCTTCATTTCTCATGTTCCCATGTGCAGATTTAAGAGGGGGATTTCCCTGAGAGTGAGAGCGAGAGAGAGAGAGAGAGAGAGAGAGAGAGGGATGTAATGAGCGCTGAGCTCAACGATGACATCAGGATTTTTGATAAAGTGCGTACGCGCTGCCTCCCGTATGATCTCACACCCAGCCTATCTGGCCTGATCCAGCACTGCCCTCAGAGTATCTCAGAGAGATCTCCGCTCCAGTCCCACACATCACTCACCATCCACGCTCCCATCAGAACTGAGTCTGGGTGAAACTGCAGAAGATCAGAGCGCTTAATGAAACTTATTATTAAAACAAGATGTTCAGTTCACTATGCTGAATTTGATCATAAAGCCCCCACATTTGAGCAACAGTATGAGAACTAGTATAATCGGAATGAAGCTTTTTCAAACTACATTAATTCATGCAGCTCTTTTTACCCAAAGATACTTATTCGAACGTATGATTCTGGTGCTATATAACACTATATGTGAAATATTATTATATATTATAAGCATTTTGTAGACAGACAAATATATATATATTTTTTTTTTTATATTTTCTATCTAATTTATTTATTTATTAATTTATACACACACACATATACAGTATATATAAATAATTTAATATATAAAACTTTACATACATATATAACATTTTATATACATATTTATTTTATATACATATTTTTATATATAATTAATATATATTAATATATAGTATTCATATACATTTTTATAATAACACATTTAGTTTCCGATATTTGATACTGTCATGATATTATATTTTACAAATAAACATAATATTTCTGATTTATTACTGTTAACAGCTATACATATTAAACAAAAAGAAACATTTTGCTTATTATAAATTACAACTTTATCATACATAATTTGTATGTATATTTTATATTTTATACTGTTTTTTATTTATAATTTATAATATGTATACTATATTTAATTGTTTTACATATTTCTAATATATAAATTATATCATATCTAATATGTACAGCTTTTAACAGTATTAAGTAAGAAATTAAATTCCATACTATGACATTTCTTGTAATTTTTTATTATATAATTTATAAATATAAAGTGTACTATAGATTTGACAGACAGACATAGACAGACAGACAGACAGACAGATAGATAGACAGACACAGACAGACAGATAGACAGACAGACAGACAGACAGACACAGATAGACAGATAGACAGACAGACAGACAGACAGATAGATAGATAGATAGATAGATAGATAGATTTCAATATACTGATCTGGATAATCTAAAAGAATAAGTATAATATAAACACTAATAATCAATATCTTAATCTCAGGCGTTTGGACAAAGTTTGGAGTGACTCTGATGAAACCAGCAAGTAACCAAAGACGGGAAAACCCTGGCAGACGAATTGTTGCAGAAAGTATGTGTTATTAATAGAAGCGTGTTGCACAGTTGTGGCCATGGGAGTGTTTTCATTTCGATGGTGACTTTAACTTGTTGTGCTTCTGTTATGACATTCAATCGCTGTCCAAAATAGCAATGACAACACTTGAATACACACAAATGTTCATTATGTCCTCTATGATGAAATCCAAAAATATACAGAAGCTGTTGACAGACTGATGCCGTCCCAAACAGTCATTTAGATGAGAGTTCGATCTATTGGAGTTTTTCACAAACCTCAATTCTCTAACTCGAGACGGGAGTATTTTTAACTTTGATTATGCCCGAGAGATTCGGGGTGACCTTATCTCTGTTATTACTGGAGATATAAATGAGAATTTGTCTTATATTTACACTGAGAATATGCACCTCGCTCCTGAAGAGCTCCCCGGGCGCTTCACGCAGCTGCTCCTTGCTGAAATTGAGCAGTATTTATAGCGAGAGACACATTTGTACACAGGAGACACCAGAAACACTCACACTTCATCCGCCAATCCGATCGAGGATGTTGAACTTCACAGCTATCAATTTTGTTACACACGTGTCTCCTGGGAAATTTAAACGGCTGAATGCCGTGAATGAACGCTGGTTACTTGCAGCTCCTGTAATAATTAATTCCTCAGATTCTCGGGGTATTTGATGGGCAAGCATCAGTGGCACTTCGTTTATATTTAGTAATGGATACTGCTGGAGCTTGATGCACATGGATACACACTCAAATACCGGCACATTCTTGGTTGGCATAACAGTACGGCTAATCTGGGATCACAAAAACTGGCTCATACCAACCATGCATATTATAGGGTGCATGCATATTTCAAAAAATTAAATGTTAAATTAAAAACTATTTATCTATAATAAATCATCTCTAACAAAAATAAATTATTGTTATTTATACACTTATACTGAATAATTTTTAATTATAGGATTTTGTCATTTTTTTATAAATATATTTATTTAGTTTTTATTTCAGTTAGTAATTTTAATATTTTAATTGAAACTTATTTCAGTTACATGCCAAGGTAATACTTCTCATTTTTGTGTAGTGTATGTTTTTCAGCTAATATTTATATTTCATTTTTTCAAGCTATTTATTAATTTATTGATTCAATATTTATAAAAAAATATAAAATAAATATTAAAAAAATGTTTTTTTCATAATTTTACAATTTTAACTTGCACTTATTTCTGTTAGAAGCCAAGGCAAAAAAATCAATTTTTCGTTTATTTTAAGGTTTAATCTAATATTTAATTTTATTCCAGCTTTATTAAAATTAACAAAAATATTTTAACACTGACATGCACTAGTGGAACTGTCACTAACATATACAAGAATGCTTTTGTCATTTTTATTATTATTTTTTTTTAATACTTATAAATTGTGTTTATTTTTTATTTCAGTAACTTATTTCAGTAAAATGCCAAGGTAATTTCTAATTTTGGTTCAAGTTTTCATCTGATATTTCATTTTATTTCTTTTTTATTTCAAATAACAAAAATGTTTGTTTGTTTATGAATGTATGTACAGTATGCATTTATTTATTCATTCATTTATTTATATTTATATCTTTTTTTAACCATAACAACACTGGCATGCACTATAAAACCATGCACCACTGAAATAAACAGAAATGCAAACAGACTTTCTCAAGGTATTACAGACCTCCTTGGTTTCAACCCACTACTAACGTCAACCTCAACCAGATAACCAGTGTTAAACGACATAATGGCAGGTGCTAACAGTTGTGTAAATATTTCCTCCCCCATCCTCCACCACACAGAGAGACAGTGCTGAACCCACACAGACATCTCCAGTTCTGGAGGAAAACGTCAGAGTTAGTCTCAGCCGTGTGAAGGCTGGAGCACTGTGACTAAATAAGGGCAAAGAAACTCTCACATTGACGGTTCGTCTGGCACAAACTGACGCGCTGCGTTTGTGTTGATCATATGATTGCCAAAATTAAGCTCATCATACGCTCATTATTTTAACACATCAGACAAACACAACTATCTGTACCTGCCCTCTCTGAGAGAGAGACAAATAGGTAATTCTTAGGATTTACCATGCTTTATTTTCAGAAAATGTCCGAAAGAATCCCTGGAAAGTTATTAACACACATGAAATTAAAATAAATGTCTTAAATATTTCATTTGTTTCTCAATGAGAGTAATAACTGAATGCACGCGA